GATCACTGAGCCTCCCTGAGCCTCAGTTTCTTCATCTGTGAAATGGACAGCTGTGTTCTTGCTCCTTGATTACGAGGCACAGTGAGGGAAGCATCTGGAGTGAGGTCCCCAGAGAAGGGAGCCTGGGAGCACAGGTGCCCCCACCTCATTCAGGAAGCTCCTGGTTTCCTAGTGGGCGGTGGGCTGCCCAGGGCCTTGGTAGAGGAGGTCAAGGAGGCAAAGGGGGAGATCCAGGCAGATTAGGTTAGAGGTGCGGGGAGATCCCCCAGAGCCTGATTAGAAGTGGCCGGGGGGCGGGGCAGGAACAGAGGGGACAAGTCACTGGGCCTGGGGACAGGAGGTGTCAGGGTGGCAGTTGTGTGACGGGCCTGAACTTGGGTGACCTGCAGCACTCTGGCAGCACCCTGCTGAAATTCACAGGGCAGGGGTGAGGCAGGCCAGGGGACCTGACACAGATCTCTGTGGTGCTGGCCACCTTGTGCCAGGATGGAGCAAATATCAGAAGGCGTGGGTCCCTCTCTGTGGAGGTTTGTAATTCAATTAAGCCAATTAAGGTCTGAAAGATGAAAGAGTACCAAGATGGTATGTTCCCTGCACTTTTAGTGCCTACAGACCGTTCTAGGCAGCCAGCCCAGGCCATAAAGTCTCTGTCAGGCCTGCAGAACTGATAGGCCCGGTCATTTCTGTTCTTGGCCATTCCAGTGATGGCTACGGTCCTTATTCAGAATGAGGGAGGCAATTGCCGAGGCTTACAGAGAACCCAGAAAAACAATAGTATATGCCATCTGGTCTCTACAGCAGCCGACAGTCACGCAAGATAGACTTTGATTTAACTGACGGCTCCTGTCTGCCCGGTTGCCTGTAGAGTGAATGACGATGAAGAAGGTTAGCATGAGCAGTCTTTGACTAGAGGGGGGCCCCCCAGACCTGGGTGAAGCCCCGGGGCACACTGAGAGTGACCTGCCCTTCATACCCGTGCCCTCCCTCGTGCTCTCCAGGATGGCGATCCCCCATTAAAAAAAAAAAAAAAAAAAAAAAGGCCCCCACCTCTTCCTTGGCCAGCCAGGCCCCTGTTCACTCACTCCTCCAGACCCCCATCCCCACCCAGGGCTGACCGTGTGGTGGACTTCTTGCCAGTTCAATAACCATTTATCTCAAAAGGCTTGCGACCCCGAGAGTGGCAAGACAGGCTCACAGGTCACTGCAACGCTGAGCAGATTGGAATAGGGACAGTCGCCAGATTACAGACTCAGCAGCGATCAATTTTGGCAGAGACTTGGTGGAGAAAGTTCCACTTGAATTGCCACTCAAATTTGTCAGAGGTCATCGGGTGGAGAGAGGACAGAAGGGTGTGTGGGGCAGGGTACGTCTGGAGCGCTTGGGGCCGGCAAGGCCGTGCGCTGGGGCAAGGCGCGTGGTGCCACGGGCACACCAGTGTGCGGTACCGGTGGGAACGGGACGTGTGGCTTTCCAGAAGCCAGTGCAGTTTGGAGGCAGAGAGAGTGGCAGCACCTGAACCAGGGGAAGTGGTGACCCAGAGCAGGGTGGTGACGGAAACCGGTGAGGTGGTAGATGGAGACATGGGGCCTGTTTGGTGGTGGCTGAGGTAGAGGGAGCAGGCCCCAGCTGCAGGCGGGGCGCCAGGGGATACGGAAGTGCAGAGGAGCGGCAGGGCCAGCTGAGAGGCAGTGGTGGGGGCAGGAGTGCCGTGTGTCCCACAGAAGGTCAGGCCTTGCCTCCCTGCCCAGTTCCCTTACCATGAGTCACCACAGGCCCAGTAGGCCGCAGTGATGACAGCACACCAATTAGGAGCAGCTCAAGGACCTTGTGCGGCTGTCTGGGCCACTGCTGTTGCTTAATCGAGGGCAGGGCCACACTGGGGGCAGGAGTAGGGAACAGGAGGGGAGGACAGAGCTCACCTTCAGTGGGCCCTGTTTTGTGGGGGTGGGGGGGGGAGAGGGCTGTGCCGCGGGCGTCAGCAGGTGTACGAAGGTGTCACCTCCACCAGGATGCCCTGCTGTCTCCCAGCATCTGCCCCTGAGCCCACCCAACTCTGGACCATTCACTCTGTCACCCCCTGGAGCCCTCGAATGCCACCTGGGTGGAGTTGGGCACCTTCCAACCGAGCCTTCTCCAAGTGGGTGTAGAGGCCACAAAGATAAAAGTTTCCAAAGGAACAAAATCATTCATCTGGCTTCCCTTTTAGAAGGAACCCCGGGGAGGCCCTAGGCAGCTCTGTGGGGGCCATGCAGGCACATAGCTGGCCCCTGGGGCCGAAGTGGAAGGTCCGGAATGCAGGCCAGTGTGGGTGCCGGGCCATTCCCCTCAGCCTGGGAGGAGGGGCCCACCGGCTGGGGCTGACATGGCATGGGGACTCTGCTCGGGGACAATTGCCTCACAGCTTTGCTAAATGCCCCCCACCCACCCCCACCCCCACCTGCACTCACACCTCACACAGCCCATTGGTTGGTCTTCTCTCAGCAGCCCTGTCTGCCTGGGGCCTACTCACAGAGGGATCTGTGCCTGTTGGGGGGCTGAAACCAGACCCTGTCCCTCCTGTCCAGCGGCCAAGGGGGACACGGAGCCCAACACTGCGAGTTTCCCCCAGATTGCCTCGTACTGGGAAGGGAGAGGCATGGCAGCTGGGTGAGAGAAAGGCGGGGAGAAGGGGCACCCAGCCGGGGCACTGTCCCGAGCAAGAGTCTGGAGTGGGGGAAAGAACCTGGCGGGGACAAAGGCATGGGGTGGGGGCAACAGGCAAGGCCATCTAGGGAGATCGAAAGGTGCCATTGCGGCCTCCAGTGTGCCTCCTGAAATGGCCTCTGTTTCCTGGGCCAGCGAACTGGACTGTGATTCCTACTGCACCCACCCAGGTGAGTGGGGTGCTTTCACAGAGCACCCCGGACAGAGCCTACTCTGCCTTACACGCCGTGAAAATGAAAGCTTCACTTCCTTCAAGTTCCGGGCGCGCTGCGGCTCCACACATCCCTGAGCTCAGGGCTGACCTGCGTCGCCTCTGCCCTCACCGCCGCGGACAGGATGGCCCACCGACTGATTGCAGCCCCTCCCTCACGTGCTGGCTTCTGCCCCTCCAGTCTGTCCTCACCCAGCAGCCTTCTGCTTGGTGATGGCCCATGTCACTTGGGGCCCCATGGGATCTGCAGCCCCTCGCTCCCATATTCTCCATCAACTCTCTCACCTGCTGGGTACGCGTCTCCCAGCCAGAGAGCACAAGAACCCATTCAGTCCTGTCACCTCTCTGTCGCCAGCACGGACGGCCAGTGCGGGCACATAGTAGGTGCTCAGTAAGGATTTGTCAGATGGCAAACTAAAAGGCCGGGCAGTGGGAAGTTAACGTGGGAGTGGAGAGGACAGTGCATTCTCTTGTCTACCATTTTGTTCCCACATCTTCTGGCAGTGAAGCCTGCTCCATGTGGAAAGAGTCTAGAGGAGTAACACTTAGGTGCCCAAACTTATAAAATGTGGACCGCTTTGGATGGGCGTTTTCTGGGGTGCCTCTCTGCATCCCAGACTTCACGGGCGGGAGCTGCCCTAGGTACGTGTGCTTTTTCTTGACAACACAGGGCCAGCATCCAGAGGAACTAAGGCCCCTACGTGTTCTGAGGCCCCTCGGGGCTGTAGGCATAGGGGAATGGCCCTTTTCTCCCAGAGGCCCTGGTCTTGTCCCCTGCGGGCTGTGGCGCAGCCCTGCTGCTGAGTCTGCTGGGCTCCGAGGAAGAGGCGGGCGCTCTCCCGAGAGCAAAGGCCACAGGGCTCGGGGCTATTGTGTTCCCATGGACAGTTCTAATCAGAAACCTGGATCAGCGGCCAAGTTCTGCTTCCAAGAAGATCCTTCTGAGCCCAAAGCCCCCCCAAAGGCAAAGGACTGGGCCCAACTGAGCCATGCCGTCAGGAGGCCTCTTGCTGCCATGAAGGCCAAGGCCATGTGCACCGAGACTAGTTCAATCATGGGAGTTTGACCTTTGGGGGTGCTTCCACTCATGCTCTCAGTATGTGTGTATGTGCTGGGCAGCTCCTGAATCCATCATCTGGGGGGCAGAAGGGTACGAGGGAGAGCAGATGGCACCGTGCCGTGGGGCAGGGTGATGGGGAGTCGCCAGTGACCTGTGGCTGCTTTCTGCTTTCTCCTATGTGCCCCCCCCACCCCGCCACCTCTCCCCTTCTCCTCCCTTTTTCCCCTCCTTCCCCCCATTCCCTCTCTCCCTTCCCGCTCCTGCCCTCCTTCTCCCTCCTTACTCCCTCCCTCCAGGCCACCTCCCTTCCTTGCCCCAGCCCCCCAGGTGCCCTCAGGGCAGCAGAGACACCCTGCACACTAAGCCTTGACCTGGCTCCCAGCTGGCCCTGTCCATGGCTTGGCCTGCTCCCCGGACCCCCGTGCAGCCCGAGCCTGAAACCGTGAGCCACAGAGGCTGAGCCAGAAGACCGCTGCCGCCGCCACCGCCGCCGCCGCCACCGCGCGGGGGGATTTATAGCATGCCCACCACGGTGGGCCGGTCCTAATCAGGCAAGAGCAGGGAGCGCGATGGAGTGGACGAGCTTTCACTCAAGGTGGGGCACGGACATGGGGAGAATTGTGGCACAGAGGACCCACCCACCCATGCCACCATTCAGCCCCGACACATCGCCTCTGCTTCACTGTGGGTTCCTAGACAGATTGCGAGGCAGTTAGAGCCTCCACATCCCGGCTGGGCTGGGCTGGTGCTGGCAGCAGCCGATCCCTTCCAGGAGACAGTAACGCTTCCCCCTTCCCCACCTCAGCAAGTCCTCCTGCCTTGGGTGCTCATGCTGGGCAGGACTAGGGGATGGCCTGGCAGGTGGGCCTGGCAGGGAATGAGGGCCACTGGCCCAGGCTCGGAGGTGAATTTTGCAATCAGCAACTCATGGCTCAGACTGAGTGCAGATGTGCAGAGAATGTTCTGGAAGAGTGGGCCTTGGTTTTGTCTCAACTTTGCCCCTGGCTTCTTCTCACCTCTCCCCAGGTGTCCGTACTCAGCCACTTCCCCGCTGCAGCTCCCTCCACTACACCTCACCCAGGCACAGGGGCCTCCGGTGGCCACCTGCCCCGAGCCGAGGCTGCACCTGTGAAGAGGTTGGGCACCCTGTCCTCCCAGCGCGGCAGGCAGGATGGGCGACATGGCCAACAGTTCCATCGAGTTCCACCCCAAACCCCAGCAGCCGCGGGAGGCCCCCCACGCAGGCGGCTTTGGGTGCACACTGGCTGAGCTGCGTTCCCTCATGGAGCTCCGAGGAGCTGAGGCGCTGCAAAAGGTCCAGGAAGCCTACGGGGATGTCAGTGGGCTCTGCAGGAGGCTGAAGACCTCGCCCACAGAGGGTAAGGCCGCATGTGCGCCAGGGATGTAGGGTCATGGGCCATCTGACACCGCCCCCCCAGGCTTCAAGGGGCATCCTGAAGATGTTCCGTAACCCCCAGGGAAGGCCTGGTCAAGGGCTGGGCGGTGCTACTGCAGCCGCTTCCTAGAGGCACTCTTGACCCTGACTGTGCACATGACCATGGTAGCCATCCCCCACCCCCGCCCCCCCGCCAGCAGGCGATGCTCTGTGTGCGGTAAGGAGGTCATCCTCTGGGTAACGTGGGGTCCTCGAGGAGCTGTGGCCCGATCCCCTCCATAATCAGCAGCTCCCTGCTCTCGCCTCTTTGGATTAAACAGAAATGGAGCAACAGAGAAGGGGAAGGGAGAGGACCGCACGGTGTCGGCATGCACCTGCGGGCTGGGCCGCCAGCTGAAACCCCAGAAGCTCTTCTGAGCAACGGGGTGGGACAGCCTCCCAGCACAGAGGAGGAGGAAGGCAGGGCCCCTGTCTGTATGTCCCAGGTTCCGTGTGTGCTCAGCCCTATGTCCAGGAAGAGGAGGCAGATGTTCAGGACACAGGCCCTCTGAGGGCTTGGGTTGCAGGGAGCCTCTCTCCGGAAAGCGAGGGGAGCAGAGTGCTGAGTGGAGGTGCCACTGGCCACAGGCCGTCCCAGAGAAGTGCAAGCCTGAGGCAGTATAGATCTGAGGAGAGCTGCTGCAGGGAGCCTTAGGGAGGC